GATACCTTATTTCCAATAGAAGTTATATTTATATCTCTCAATAAACGAAATGAAGATACACGTTACATTTTGGTTCCAATCTAAATTACTGAAGACATAATAAATATGGCTACCGAAGTCATTTTCGGATAATAAAGATGAGTATGGAAGATTCCATCTCACATTATCGAGATGAGTCTGGAAGTTTCATTATTAATCCATATCAATAATAAACGTAAATAGTAATGTGAATAATTTGTTTCTTTGTTTGTTTGTTTTTCTTTTGTTGTGTTTTTGTGGTGTTAGTCCTCTTTGATGAAGCTAAGTCTTTAAAATTGCGATCTCCAACTGCCAAACGTGGTGGGATGATGACAGGGTATGAAAATTAAAAATCTAATTAGTCCGTCAGTTAGGTAATGAAAAAATATTAGACACGTATTTTTCTGTTGTATAATAAAATGATACTTAGATATAACGAATCAAAGTTTAGTAGTGGAGGTTAAAACGTCATTTCTGCGTATAAAATGTACATAGAAGTGACGTCACGCGACATTTCAAATCAATATATCGTCGAAAGTATTCGTTTCTGTGAAAAAATACCTGTCTAATGTTTTTAAATAATCTACCAGATGGACATTAAAATAAAAATTAGTCATCTACCTTATTATGAGAAACTTTCTTATGTAGATGATGTGCAGAAGGAGTGAATTAACATGTCAAATTTTTTATGGGATAAGCCTGTAAACGAGCATACGGACCACCTGATGGTAAGCTATTGGCGCCGCCCATGGACAACCGAAACATCCGACGCGTTACAAGTGCGTACAGGCCTTTTGGGGATTAGGAATTTCAGGATTGTTAAGGATTGGGCTTCCAGTAATTGAAATTAATATTCCAAAAATTATGTTAAGGCCTCACCTAAATTTTTAGGCAATAGTTAATTTTACTAGCATTTGGTTAAAATGCCTTTTATCGTCTGTCATATTTTTTGTTTAAAAAAACGTTGCCCCACACTATGATTTTCTCCTGTGTCGTGAATGCGTTTACAAACATACAAGTTCACATACACAGGACACCCAGACCCGAAATAATAATTTGTGGATCACACAAAGAATTGCTTCGTGCAGGAATCGGACCACCACCACGTTGTGCGGCAGCCGGTTGCCCAGCCACCGCACCAAACGTGCCGTTATATTAATGAATAATTGTTCTTATTAACCTCATTAAATATTCTTTTCTCTTCGCTACAAGGTCGCCCAAGAAATAATACAACATTATAAAAAAGTAATACATGTACAACCACTTTTAATACGATAAAGCAAATATTAATTTTCCTGGAAAAGCGCTTAACATTGAGGTTAGCTGAATTTTCTTCGCGAAAAAAAGAAAATCATGTCAAATGTAAGCTTGTCCAACATTTCCTCGGACCAACCTTTATGAAAAATGAATTGGTGATGCCATTTTGTTTTTCTGGGAAGTTTTTGATCTTTTTCGCTGTTTCTAACCGCAACTAAAGGTCATTTAGGTCATTTGACTTTAATATAGAATGTCATAACATCACGCATTTAATCCCCAAATGAGTAGGCTGAGGTGTACAATGCCTACGGCACTTAACGCCACTGTGCAATGTAACACCCACTTTTCACTATTTATGTTATGAGACCCATGTAATAGAAGGTAAGGTGATATACCGGGTACGAAAATCGATACATATCTGCAGATTTTTGATTAACACTGTTTGTTAATTTCGACCGTAAGTTAAATTAGTATTTTATTTCAATTTCATGTTGGCTTGAGTTGTGTTCAAAAGTTTAATCTTGTACAACTTACAAGTATAATTTGACTGAGACGTATTATAGTAAGTTATATACACCGCCTATAATTTTAGACCTAATAAATAAATAGATTATACAAATGTCGATTTCACTCGTACATCTAAAACACATTCTAATGATGAGGCGAAAGAGGTATGTAGAAAGTAATTGGCGTTCCCTTGTCTATGCCTACCCCCATGGGCGACAGGCGTGAAGTTATGTATGTATGTATGTATCTAAAACACATTACAACATTCTACAAAATTCAATTGACTGTCTAACCAAGTCGCCCAATTTCAAAGAAAAAACTTTCATAAAACTGAAAACAGATAGCCCCCTCAAATTGTGGCTGCGTTTAAAGATAAAATCAATTAAGTGCTCTTTAATATCTAAATGAAACGACGGCAGAATCTAAATTGGAATGAACTGTTTCAACTTTCAAATAAATTGGAAAAAAAGTCCTGAAAGAGACGTTACAGGCCCTTATCTAAGATCCAAAGTTGTTGCTGTGACAAAGCCTTTTAAGGGTCCAGTGTAGAGGGTGGCAATGAGATCTTAGTAAGGGTTTGTTGTAAGTATCTTCTTCAATATATTTAGTTGTGTGTCTTATAAAGGTATATAAATGGTAAATAAATAAATGCTTCGAACATAGAATGCAAAGACCATAGATGCGTGTTATTCATTATTATCTGTATTTGGACAACAAAAATGATAGGTATATGTCTTCGTAATTATAGCTTGAATATGATTTTAAACTAACAAAAGTATGAAAGTATGTGTGTCTAAATAGATCTATACATATAATAAAAGTAAATAAGTCAAAATTGTACACTGATTATTTTTCTAAAGGAATACCTGGGGCGTGATCTGCAATTGATACTGAAGCCAAAGATATAATTTTTGGAATATTAGTCTGTTTGTCTGTTGGTCTGTATGTATGTCCGGGATGATCTCAAAAAGTACTGCATGGATTTACTTCAAATTTTGCATGAATATAGGTTCACACTATCGCCTACGGGACTGAATAGCGCCTACAATTCTGACGACATTCATTACCGTAGAATATCCCTTGATAAAGACTAATTCAAAAGCCTAAATTCTGCCAGAAGTCATTATTCTACGCGGACTAAGTCGTGTGCAACAGCTAGTATTCTAATATTTTGTTATGAATTAACTCTTCAAAAGTGCATTCATTTGTACACAGCATTTTTCAGTCTATTGGTCTATACAGCCGAGTGCTCGCAAGTACGACTGCCAGGCAAGGGGTCTCGGGTTTGATTCCTGGGCCGGACAAAGTATTACTGGGTTTTAAAAAAATCTCAATAGTAGCACGGAGTCTGGAATTGTGCCCGGTATGTGGCAATATAGGCTCACCCTCTATAACATGGGACTTGTAACATAAATGGTGAATAGTGAGTGTTACATTGTACAGTGGCATAATATAATGGCTTACACCTTCGGGGATAAAAGGCGTGATGTTATGTTATGTTACAATGGAAGAATAATAAACTCCTTTTACGATAAAAAAACCGACTACTTATAACTTCTTAAAACACTCCTAAACACAGAAGTTTTCGACAGCCCCCAACCCTAATACCACTATAAAAATGTGTCAACTAAACAAGAAGGGAGTCGGGTCTATGTTTGTCCATAATTCGCCATTAAAACTGTCTAATTGAGGGAAATGTCGACTGGAGGAAATTTGTCGGAGTGACTTTCCTTGTTTCCAAGGTAATTTTGGACGGTTGGGGCCTATTGCGTGCGTTACGTCTACTATATTGTCTGGGCGCGGATTCAGGTGTAAGATTTTTAGGGATGAATTACTGAGTTCCACGTTCCTTGGGTTGTTTTTGGCTAGAATAAACCTCTAATTGGGTTATCGTATAGTTGGTAATGTAAGTGATTTAGTGACGATATTGATGGTGTTATGTATGTAGAGGCGGTGAGCTGTTACTCAGAAGTATGCCGATTCTGATGTGACCACAATATATTAAATAATAATTTTAATATTTCTGTCGATGTGACTTTAATTAATGTAATATTTTAATTTCTGTATTCAATTTAATAAGTACATAGTATAATAATATTGATTTTCTTTTATATAATTTTAATTTGTTTAATTTAATTTTAAAATACTTCGTTAATTCATATTTGCATGCTTCCTGGTAAAATATGGTTGAGCTCACAATGTTAGGTACATTGTGAGCTCAACACCAAATATTGTATTACCCATATTTTCAAATTAACTTTAAAACAAGTCACTGTAATTAACCGTGCGTGGGAATTGTTTTGGAAATGCGTGGAAATATTTTAACATTGATGTAATGAACAATTTTATTAATTCAGATGTCACAAGACAATATGACATATAACACAAGCGCAATGAATCTTTCTTAAACAAAAATCTATTTTATCTATTCTTAGTTTCATTGTTATCTTAGTATAGTATGCAGCAGGACAACCTACGTTTTCTGACAAATTTCTTTATTCGATTTTCAACTTAATTGTTTAGGGTATAAAATCGAATATACAATGACAAAATCAACACAATGGAGTACTGGACTCTAACCGCCGCAGAGTCGACCAGCCGTCGCGGAATGCTGTTCATGAATATGAGCCTCTAGCATGGTTTAAAATTCCCGAGCGTACGGCGTGTCGCGTTCCGCACGTGCCTCAAGGAGCCATCAGACCACCTCAGATGGGGCCTAACAGGGCCGATACGGAGCCGCAGAAGACTTAATGGATAGCCAGGAGTCCGGCTCGAAGTGCAAGGTACTTTTTAGTCAGTAAGAGTCTGACACTCTCTCTCGCCTCACCCGGGCGCGAAGAGTGATTGGATGATTTTCCTCACTCTAAAAAAAGCATGGCTTAAAACTAGTCGAGTACCTCGTCAAACAATTACGTGAGTAAGATGAAAACATAATAATTAATTTAGTATGTCTCACGAAATGTTTAATATAAACATTAAAGTAGGTCGATAGACTTGCCACCGTATCTTTCTTTGTTATAAAATTGATTCGTAAACTATTCTATAAAATATCTTTATCTATAGCTCGACAATTATCCAATCATCCCGTCCCTTTCACCAACTAACAACCGACATAATCATGTAATATCATCCCAGAAACTTCGACTTAAATACCTCTACAGTCTGAAGTCGAGTTTCACGATAAAAACTTAATTCAGACGGTTATTATCACAAACTTATCAACTTGTGGATTTCTTGTTCCTCTCTTGTAGAATTTTCTTTTGTTTTTCCATGTTCATCTTCTTCTTGTTCTTGTAACTGGAATTCTAGGAGCAAATATAATGGGTTTTATATACATGTTTTGGTTTTGTTTTTTTTTTAATGTTATTTTATGTGGTGGTTAGGATAGTATTATGACGATTTTTTTTATAGAATTGACTGCGACTATAGATAGACTTTGACGGAGTGAATGTTAATGTGACTGCTAAACAAATGGGTATAAAAATTCGATTCTCGTGTCGGAAGAGTTACTTTTCGGTTTTTCTAAAAATCTTTCAATAATTTATTGATTTATTTTATGATGAACCAACGTTATACAAATTTAATATAAAAAGTGCGTTTAAAAAACCGACTTTATAAAACGATAAAATAATAACAAACAAAAACTAAAAAGCAAAAAATAACTATTTATAGTATTGATAGGTTACCCACCCCCTGATAGTCTAGAAGTCGGTGCCATAAGAGTCCATAAAAGTCCAGTGTACCTACTTTTACAATTTGGGCAATAAACTCAACCCTTAGTGCAGGAGACTCATAACATTACCAGTGAAATTTAAGGTCCTCTTTTTCTTCAAATGTAATAAATAAAATAAAAATAAAATAATGGTTATTTCGGACAAGTGAAACATCCCTAGGGGTTAGTAAGAAAACATTAAGAATCTTAAAACTATGTTAGTACCTATATTGTTACAAGCCTACTGTTGGGAATACATCTTCGCACGATACCATGTATTATAGGTGAATCGTACCTCCCTGCAATGGTTTTCAAGATGGAGATGGAACTGGCCCGCACCCTGCAGAGCAGCGATGCAGACTTCTGTCTGATAATGGCATGGAAGTCATCAACGTGTGCGTGTGCAGATGCACTGCAGAAACAGGGCAGTTCCATCAACTTTCTGAACCCATTATTATATTGGACTCGCAGGGCGCTGATAGTCCGCAAAGTATAGCCGGCCCACAAGCTGCACGTGTAGAACACTTGACAATATGCTTTAAAAAGCGTTACTTTAACCTCCTTGCTATAACGCGCAAACCTGCGCGCCAGCATATTACATCGAACTGCCAGCGCCCTACGTTCCCGCTCAATGTCTACATGGTCCCTAAGGTCGTCGGTCACGTAATGACCCAGGTGTTTGAACTGGTAAACACGATTTAGTTCATTACCATTAAGCCTAATTGCAGGTACAGAATCTGGACATTTTTCACCACTCGCCTTAAAGACCATGAATTCGCTCTTAGCAACATTGTACAGTAGGCCATGAGTCTGTGCATAGGACTCACAACACGCAAGTAACTCTCTGAGCGACCTGACCGTTGGGCCCAGCAGCACCATGTCATCGGCATAACTGATGTTATTAATACTGCAGTCATCAATGCGACAGCCGATTTTCTTACTGCTGAGCTCAACGATCAGGTCGGTAATATAGAGGTTGAACAGTTTTGGTGAGGTTATTCCTCCCTGCCTTACACCGCACTCCACACCATAATAAAACTACTCAAGTATTGGATGCAGATCGCTTCCGAACGGTCTATTTGGAAGTCCTTGGCGGAGACGTCTGTTCAGCATTAGACGTATTGTGGTTTATTATGATAGTGTTGATGATAATGATGAAGTATTGAAAACAAAAGTCGAAAAAACATTCAATCTTTAAAATAAAAATTCAAAGGCCTACAATCTTAACAAACCTATCTAAAAACTGAATCAGTTAACACTGTATCTAATTGAAACAGTGTGCCCAATTTCTGAACCTAACTATAACCTTCATGGGACGTAAGAGGCATAACGGACCGTTTCCCGTGCCATTCAATTATTTTTTACGATCAGGTGGGACAAAATGGCCGTCAGATAAAACTGGGATACCCCACGTCCAGCCTTGAAGGTTATATTCAACGGATCATATTTGAAAAGTTCAGTTGTTTTTGCGCATTCGGCAAGTCCTAATTGAACTGGTGCAAATTGGATCCCACCTCTAAATTGAACTGTTATAATATGTTATTTTGTTAAAAACTTTTGAAACGATGTGTTTGTTTGCTACCTACACATATGGCATGGCTATGTTACCTCATATCTGTTATTTCACAAAGGGATGTAATAGGCTTTTTCAAAATTAATATTATTTTTGTAACGACTACTATATACCTACGCGTTGTAGCCTGTTGTATGTGAGGTATTAATATGCCTTGTAAGTTATAATGTGATATTTTAAGGTATCTAACTATCCATAAGTATTATTAAAGATTTCGGTATATAATTTGGAACCAAAAAAATGATGATTTGACTGCACGGTTGGCGTGGTGGCTGGGCAACTTGCTACCGCGCAACGTGTCACGGGTTCGATTCCCGCACGCAACAACTCTTTGTGTGATCCACATATTGTTGTTCAATACGAATTTTTCAAAATACCTAAACCTAATAGTGGATACAGAAGTAAAATTCATTTCCATTAGAATCGATTGAACACACAAAGTAATGCGTTCCACTCGGAATATTTGCGTTTGGTTTAAATACAATTAATATTTGTTGGCCGATTCCTCCCTACCTATTTGTTAAGGTGGACGGTGTTATGTGGGAGTGTAACATATACCTAATTTGGATAGTCGACAGTGAATGAAAACTAAAAATCTAATTAGTCCGTCAGTTAGATAATGTTAACATATCTTTATCTTTTTTATTTTATCAAATTCGAGAATACAATACTCAGATAAAACGAATTTAAGTAGGTCGCTATTCCACACGTTCGTCTAAAACGTAGCACCCCGTAACATAACGCGGCATTTCAAATCAATATATTTTTGAAAATATTTAATTTTGTGAGAAAAAAAAACTACTTTTTGACATAATCTACCAGACGGACATTATAAAAATGATGAAAGTACCCTATTTCATTATAAAGTCTATGTGTTTTGCTTGAAATAAGTACCAGACTGAAACTAATAGAAATACTTTATTGGATTACACTGGCATAACTGGTGAAAGGCGTATTTCTTTTTTCATTTTTTAATTACTTTTTTTTAATAACGTTATACGGTACTTTCAGCGCGCACCTTAAAGAGCCATCAGACCACCACGGATGGGGTTCAATAGGGCTGATCGGCATACGTGGCCGCGGAGAACGTAAACGGTTACAAGCTCCGGCTTGAAGTTACAGGAGTTGGAACAGTATGGTTTTTAGTCAGTAAGAGTCTGACACTCCCTCACCCAGGCGGGAGAAGACAGTCGATGATTTATTCTACATTAAAAAAATACGGTATTTTGACAGTATCTTGACATAAAAAGATACAAATTACAACATTTCATATCAGTCTGTAGGCACTAGTTAGTTAGGCACTAGATAGTTGACTCTTCAAAATATTTACGAATTTGCTCCTAAACTTTTACATAGATATCAACAAGTAAATAAACTTATATATTTTACTAACAAGGCAAAATATTCTCCTAACTTTTTTGGTACATAAAGTCGAGGATAAAAGTAGTTTTCCCAATAATATTGGTGAAGCAATTTGGGGATTGCTATTGTGATATTAATAGGTCGAACTTACAAAGATCGTGGGCTTGTACAGCCGAGTTCTGGGAGTCATTATATCGAGTGTTTTTGGCTACTGACAATCGAGTATCGATTCTAATCGAATGGGATTACTTTTCGAGAAATCATTAATTATTTTTTTATTTGTTCATGTATTTTTTTCTTGGAACTTCTTGTGTGATTAAAAATAAATGTGTATTTGTAAAAATGGACGACTATTTTTGTTCAATTCAGTTTCTACTTTTGTCTAATATTGTCCTAAGTTGCGTGGGAATTACACAATAAAATATATTTCCTTCGTTGTATTTCAACAGCAATTTCTTTGCCCACGGCCTTTAACTTACTATAGGTAAATCGATAAGTGTTCTATTTTATTTCATTCATCAAGTTCTGCTTATTATCAAACAATAAGAAATGAACTCGGTCAAGCAACTAAAAAGAAATTAAGTTATGCTAACAAACGTAAATTTTAACACAAAAGAAAAATCCAAAAAGTAATTGAATTAATTATTACGTTTTTGAATCATTCGCGTAACTATTTGACGAGGAACTCGACTAGTTTCAAGCGACGTGGTGACTGTCGCGCTGCTACTTTTAATATAAAAAAGGAATTAAACAAAAATTAAATTCCTGGTTCTCTCCACATAAACTGATCCACAGGCGGTGTGAGCGTTGTAATCAATGTCGTAAATATTTACTATAGCTGCACTCCACTGCAGTTTCGGACCGGCATTCACAGGTATTCCGAATTTACCGACATTCTTGCGATTTACGGTCAATTGTTGGGATTTTTTAATTTATTGTCCGAGTTTTTGTGTTGGACTATAATAATGGCTGGTATTTTTCAACTTGCAGAATGAAACTTGGATTGTAGTGGTGTATTATGTGTTGGTATTGATTAAACCAGTATGATTCTTTGTGTAGTTTGATTTAAACTGTAGATTTATAGTAGTGTAATGGTAAATTTTACTTTTTCGGAATAAAAACTATTTCATAGATGTACGGTAATTCCATTTTGGAAGATAACAAGATTGGAAGATACAAATGGAAACTAAATAAGCTAATTTACGGGGACAGTCAAATATTTACTCTAGTTTTAGGTTTTGCCTACAAGATATTTTAATTTCACCATACCTAAGTTTTTTTTTAAATTCTATTTTATGATGTGTACACGCGATATTAATAAAAATATAATATTTCACTGCTTGTTAAATTAACTCGTCGAGTACCGGTTTTGTAGACACAATTATAGAACAATAGGTTGCGGTCACCGGTGACCGCTTGGTGTTTGACAGTTTAAACAATAAATACAATAAACATACGTTGTTCCATTTTCGATTCCAATTCACTTTGTTTTCATTGAAACTTCGACATTGAGTCAAAAATTACAACCATTCATAAAATTTTAGTTAAAGTCTTTTGGCTATATCTTGCATGAAACCATCCTCGACAGAGTATGAGCGCAATCAATGCAGTTTCTATTTATCAGAACAGTACACCCGGTGCTGTTCTAGACGACCAAGAATCCCGGCCTTGCAGTTCCCGTTTTCCGGGATTTAATAGCATTTCCGGGATTTCCGAAGACTTTACACAGATTTCTGAGATGTTACAACACAACAGATGTTATTTAATACTTCAGTTCTGTAGTTCGAAACTGATTTTAAGGTATTCTTGTAATTGTTTGGATAAGACAACTGCCTCGTTGGCCGAGTGGTCGCGAGTGCGACTGTCGGGCAAGGGGCCTCGGGTTCGATTTTCGGGTTTTTAAAAAATCTCAGTAGTAGCACGGAGTCTGGAAATGTGCCCGGTATATGGCAATAGGCTCACCCCCTATTACATGGGACTCCATAACATAAATAGTGAAAAGTGGGTGTTACTTCTGTGTGCACCTCTGCCTACCCCTTCGGGGATAAAAGGCGTGATGTTATGTTATGTTATTATGTTAACAATATAACAAGATGAAAATAAATCAAGTTAAACTTACAATTCTAATCGCCGAGGCAATAAATGAGTATAAATATCTTACATGAAAAACAGTTAATGTCAAAATACCAGACCGCACAATGTATACAACACTAAAATACATGATATCATATATTAACTTAATCTAGCCATTATTTTGTACTGATTCTTCGTAAGATATCCTTACATTGTTCGAGGATTATACACGTGAATAGATTAGTACCTACTTTATAGTAAGATAGACCAAGACATGGTCTACTATATTATTAACTAGCGACCCTCCCCGGCTTTGCATGGGTGCAGTATGCATGTATTATACATATAAAACTTTCTTAAGAACCACTACATCTATTAAAAAAAAATAAAACATAAATCGTTGCGTAGTTTTAAAGATCTAAGCATACATAGGGACAGACAGGCGGCGGATAGCGACTTTGTTTTATACCATGTAGTAAAGAGTTAGACATGAGTGTTCCTATAGTACATATTTATTAGGTACCTAATTTTATACTTTATTTATTTATTTTTGTTATATGAAACAAACAAATAAACTCTTCGTTTAATTGTCTATTTATTTGAACGCGCTAATCTACAGAACGACTGGTCTGATTTGAATCATTATTTTTATGTTGGAGTTCATATATCGAGTAAGGTTAAGGAAAGCTATACTGTAAAGCTATGGTAACTTAGATATTTAATTAAGTGACACCGGTAGATAGCATTCAATGTAAAAAGTGACTTGTCTTTAGTATGTTAAATGTGATAATAATCTAATGACAAGTTAACTCACTATTAATAGACCATCTATACATATAAATAAAATTAACTCGTCGAGTACCGGTTTTGT